TTGTTCTCTTCAATTTCTTACATTACTGTTTTATAGTTTTCATTGTAGAGATCTTTCACTGCATAAAATTAATTCCTAGGCATTTTTTTTCTAGCTATTGTAAATGGGATTGTCTCAGTGGTTTATTTTTCAGCTAGTTCATTATTAGTGTATAAAAACACTACCAGTTTTTGTATGCTGATTTTGTATTCTGCACTTTCACTGAATTCTTTTATTCTAACAGTTTTTTGCTGGAGTCTTAATAGGGTTTTCTATATATAAGTTCATGTCATCTGCAAATAGGGATTTGTGTTTCTCTTTTACAATTAATTTTGATGCTTTTTATTCCTTTCTCTTGCCTAATTTCTCTGGCTAGGACTTGCAGTACTATGTTGAATAAAAGTGGTGAATGTGGGTATCCTTGTCTTATTCTAGAACTTAGAGGAAAAGCTTTCAACTTTTCCCCATTTAGCATGTTGTTAGTTATGGACTTTTCATGCATGGCCTCCTTTATTTTGCTGAGGTATGTTCCTTTTGTACTAAGTTTGTTGAGAAGGATTTTTTTTAATGTGGTTTTTAAATTTCAGAATATTATAGGATACATATGTTTTGTTTACAAACTTTTTTTTTTGCATAAAATGAGTGAAGGTTATAAGCACGTCCCCCACTCAGACATGTGCACTGTACCCAATAGGTGTGAATTTACCCATCCTCTCCTTCCCTCCACCCTAGCTTGATCTTCACTGAGACTTACTTCCATATGTGCACTTAAGTGTTGATGGAAGTCCCAACCAGGTATTGAGTACATGTATTTGTTTTTTCATTCCTGTTATGTTTCACATGTTTTGTGATTTCTTTTGGGCTCTCAATTCTATTCCATTGGTTTATGTGTCTTTTTGGGCACATAAACCAATGGACTAGAATTGACAGTATAAATGATATTTCTTGATATGTGCAGTACTTGTATTTGAAGTACATGTATTTGTTTCTTCTTCCTGTGACTAGAAGAATGTTCTCCAGTTCCATGCAGGTTGTCATAAAAGATACTCGATTGCCATTTTCTTTATGGCTGAGTAGTACTCCATAGTATGCATATGCCACATTTTATTAATTCATTCATGTATTGGTGGGCACTTGGGTTGTTTCCAAGTATTCGCAATTATGAATCATTCTGCTATAAACATTCAAGTGCAGGTATTCTTTTTATAAAGTGACCTTTTTTCCTTTGTGTATATACTCAGCAATGGGATTCCAGGATCAAAAGGTAGGTTTACTTTAAGTTCTTTGAGTTATCTCCATGCAGTTTTCTATAGAGGTGGTACTAGTTTGCAATCTTAAACACTGTATAAGAGTTCTTTCCTCTACACATCCTTGCCAGCATGTGTTATTTAGGGGTTTTTAGTATGAGCCATTTTTGGTTTTTTCCTTTTTTTAAAGACATAGTCTCACTTTATCACCCTCAGTAGAGTGCTGTGACATCATCGCTCACAGCCACCTCCAGCTCTTGGGCTTAGGCAATTCTCTTGCCTTAGCCTCCCAAGTAGCTGAGACAACAGGC